TAAATGTATCATTTCACAACAAGGACAGCAATCACCTTTGCTAGTCTCCTGAGTGGCGCAGTGGTCTAAGGCACTGCATTGCAGTGCTAGCTGTGCCACTAGAGATCCTGGTTCGAATCCAGGCTCTGTCGCAGCCGGCCGCGACCGGGAGACTCATGGGCAGCGCACAATTGGCCCAGCGTTGTCCAGGGTAGGGGAGGGAATGGCCGGCAGGGATGTAGCTCAGTTGATAGAGCATGGCGTTTGCAACGCCAGGGTTGTGGGTTCGATTCCCACGGGGGACCAGTATGAAAAAATAAAAAATAAATATATAAAAAAATATGTATTCACTAACTGTAAGTCGCTCTGGATAAGAGCGTCTGCTAAATGACTAAAATGTAAAATGTCTACAAGCACTGCACAGTCAAAGTGGGAGAAGAAGAGAAGCTCACTCTGAGTCTGTCAAAACTCCCAAACCGCCTAAACCATTCAATTATGAGACAGGGTAAAATCCAAACTTGTGCTATATATTCATTGGCTATGGCATAGCACGTTTTTTAAAGATAAATATTGACACATTACTTATACTTTTAGTCTGCAAAAATGACTCAGCTCAGCTGTCTACATTTACATTTTAGTCATTTAGCAGACGCTCTTATCCAGAGCGACTTACAGTTAGTGAGTGCATACATTTTCATACTGGCCCCCCCGTGAGAAACGAACTACCAACAGAGCTACAGGGAACACACACCATAGACATACATTTACACACACACACACACAAACACACGTCTGCTCAGACAGATCCAGCTCTGAGAGGTTTCCACTAGTTACCATAGGCAAAATTTGCTATCGTAAAAATTCATGAAATTAAATTTCGCATTTTGGTCTTCATTTAAGGTTAGGGTTAGGCATTAGGTTAGCAGTGTGAGGTTAGGTTTAAAGATTTTAAGAAGATAAATTGTAGAAATAGGAGGGGTTTATGACTTTGTGGCTATGTTAACTAGTGACGACCGCTCAGAGAGGCCCAGCTCATGAGCTCCATCAGCAGAAGATTTAAATTTTTAATGGAAATGAGTGTGTTTATGCAACAAATGTTAGTGCGTCGAATCATATTGCATCTAACCGAATCGCACTGATTCCTTCCTCTAATCAAACCGAATTCCACCGAATCCTTTCAAACTAAAACATAATTCCTGTATCGTATTGGAGCCAATGTATCTATACTGAACAAAAATATAAACTCAACATGCAACAATTTCAAAGATTGTACTGAGTTACAGTTCATATAAGGAAATCAGTCAATTGAAATAAATGAATTAGTCCCAAATCTATGGATTTCACATGACTGGGCAGGGGTGCAGCCATGGGTGGGCCTTGGAGGGCATAGGCCCACCCACTGGGGAGCCAGGCCCAGCCAATCAGAATGAGTTTATTACAGAAAGAAATACTCCTCAGCTTTGGAGGCAGCTTATGGTAGATAAATTAACATTACATTCTCTGGCAACCGCTCTGGTGGACATGCCTGCAGTCAGCATGCCAATTGCACACTCCCTCAAAACTTGAGACATCTGTGGCATTGTGTCGTGTGACAAAACTGAGCATTTTAAAGTGGCCTTTTATTGTCCCCATCACAAGGTGCACCTGTGTAATGATCATGCTGTTTAATCAGCTTCTTGATATGCCACACCTGTCAGGTGGATGGATTATCTTAGCAAAAGAGAAATGCTCACTAACAGGGATGTAAACAAATTTTGTGCACAAACTTTTAGAGAAATAAGCTTTTTGTGCGTATGGAAATGTTCTCGGATTTTTATTTCAGCTCATGAAACATGAGACCAACACTTTAAATGCTGTGTTTATATTTTGTGGCCACTTTCGTTTGTTTCCCTCCGTTTCAATTGAAGGGTGTTGTGGTACTCTGTTGCAATAAAACCATGTGCGGTTATTATGAGGATGACAACATCTAATGTTGGCTTCAACTTGGCTTTCCATAAATATCCTTCCATTAAAAAAGGAACCTGGTTTTGTATTAGGCCCTATATGTACAATTATGTAAACTATACAATTGTATAACGTTGAGGTCCTTGACAATTACAATGAAGTGCTTGAAAAGTTCCCTGAAAGTCCCTGAATTTGACTTGCCAACGTTTGTATGAACCCTGCTTAAAGGATGAATAGTCCTATGTTGTTGTATAGGTGGAGTTATGGGTGAATTTGCATATATTAACTTGTATTCCTCTAATCCTTTTTATTTTTGTTTCAAACCATTTAGACATGTTTATCCTAATGTCACACATTGGCCCCATTATTTATAGAAATACTCTTATACAGTACATACGTAGAACAAATCATCAGAAATAGGGGTATTGTGAAGCAGTTGGCTACTGTAAAAATGTACTGTGGTGTTATATGCCATTTCTGCACCATGCAACATTGTACAAGATCATCTTTTCTACGTGATTTGTCAACTGATACAGTATCGCCTGTCGCTCTGCTTGAAATTCTTCAGCTTACAGTGTATCAATGAAATTCAGATAATGAGCGGAATATATTGTTATATGGGCGGCAGGTAGCTTAGTGGTTAAGAGCGTTGTGCCAGTAACCGAAAGGTCGCTGGTTCTAATCCCCGAGCCGACTAGGTGAAAAATCTGTCGATGTGCCCTTGAGCAAGGCACTTAACCCTACTTGCTCCTGTAAGTCGCTCTGGATAAGAGCGTCTGCTAAATGACTCAAATGTAAATGTAAATGTACATCCCAGGTATTTCAGCAGTGTACACTACCCTATAATTCCAGCACGTAGTGACTCTTTCCATTTTGTCTTATTGTAGCACACTGGGTGTTTGAGAATGATGTAGTATTATGATGTAGTATTTACAGGCACATCTATATATGATTTGTTTCAACTTCCAACATAAATGTATGCCAAATTGATACATTTGAGGTAAAAAATAAATTCTACATTGTAATTGTATTAACAAATGACAAGAAAATCTAAAGTAAAGTGAATATTGCATTTTGAAAAAGACGATACTTAGATTGAACATGTATCAATTTAAAGAGTGATTTGATGCAGTAAAGTCAATTGAAAATATGCATAGAGTTGTGAAAATGTACCACATACTTGTGAAAATTGCACCAAAGTGATACCAAAAACTGTAGTAAGTATGACACTAGCAACAACAGAGTTGTGGGTTCGATTCCTAATGAGTTCACATATGAAATTGTGTGAACTCACAGTTGTCACTTTTGATAAAAGTGGCTTCTACATAATGGCATATGTTACGGTATGGCAGCACTGTATTGGCCAATGCAATTTGAGTAAGCAGTGTGAAACCCCCTACCACTATCAAAAAGACCCCAGCAACTTAATTTTGAATACATTTTTACTGTATTGGGGATGCATTTGTTACATACAGTAAATCTCTGATCTTGTCAATAAAGTAAAATCATAATAGTCCTCATAATAGTACATACAATACTTTATGTTTATACTTTACAAACACACATTTGCATTATGTAGTTCTCATAATCTGTAGTAGACAATCCAGTTTAAAATCGGTAAATGGTTAAGTGATTATCAATTAAAGGGATACTTGGTGATTTTGGCAATGAAGCCTTTATCTACTTCCCCAGTGTCAGAAACAGATACCATTTTTATGTCTCTTGACGGAAGTTGCTAACTACCATTAGCGCAATGACTGGAAGTCTATGGTAACTAACTGCTAGCATGCTAGTTGGCTCTCAAAACTACCTCCAACTTCCTTCATACTAGATGTAGAGACATAAAAATGGTGGCACTCCTGCTGGCCAAGTTTCTCTGATTTCTACAGAAATAAGACATGGAGATCAAAGTGGGAATTGACTCAAAACCTCAAGGGAAAGTGATGCATTTGGGACAGTATCTGTAGTTACACCCATCTCCCCTTTCAGGTGATCTGGTGTCTCCATTGAAGTCATCATGAAAAAATAACCTCTATTGCTGCATGAACACTGAGCATTGGAAACATTGTCACACACAAGAGTCCAGTAGCCTACATGTGGGCAAAAAAACAAATCACACACTCTTTCTGGGGGAAATCATATTTTATTAGTGTAGAATAGAGTCAGAGTAGGGGGAAAAGGACTAGACTAGACAGAGAGAGAGAGGGGGGAGGAGAGAGAGCAAGAGAGAGAGACCGACAGAGAGAATTGTTTGACATTCCTTAGCACCCTCCTGTGTTAAGGCAGTGAAACTGCAGCCATACCCTGTTAGTAGAGTAGTGGGTTAGTAAAAAGGTTGCCTATATTGGTTTGAGTTGTAAACTTAAATTCCCTGTTCCTTATCTTTATCATGCCACCACAAGTAGAGATATATGGGCCTACTTCTTTAGTTAGAAAAGAGAGGTTCCGGTGCCTGCCAAGCATAAATGCAATTATCTGAAATTTGGCCAAACATCTAATAGGCTAGCAATGTAGCAACCAAATCAAATACCATGCACCAGGGATTTAAATATACTTTTCTTTCTTTCTTTTCACAACGCTTTCTCTACAGTCCACACCTTTATACTCTCTCCTTCCTGTTGCCTGCAGGGCAGGCTGCCTCCCTGCTACTCCTTTGTCTCTCACTCCCCTAAACTTAATTGCCTTGCTGAGGCTCTACTGAAGGAGACAAATTAGTTCCTACCGGGGTGTTTCTTTAACAATAAGGAGAGCTAATCTCTGGATGTTCTGGGAACACCCGGAACCTGCAGCTGCTTGCAAACTAAATCATTTAATAATCTACATTTTCATAAATGTTTTCTATTGTTGGAGAAAATAAACATTTTGCCAATATAGCTCAATAAACTGAGAAGAAATGCTGAACCCACAAATGTATTTGACAATGGTCTTATCTGTTCATAAACATTTTAGCATACCCTACAAAAATTTACATTTACATCATAGAATATATTAAATATATGTATAGAGAGCGAGAGAGAGCAAGAGGTCCTTAATTAAGGTAATTAAGGCCCCTATAAGGTCTGTGTTTATCACAAGGACTATTCCCCTTCTTTGTCTTTGAGATCTGCGAAGGCTTTTTTCACCATGAGGAACTGTGACTCTCTGTGAGAACGTTTCAGCTTGGCCCTGCGATTCTGGAACCAGATCTGTGGAGAACGGAACAACGTCAACAGAGCTTTTTTAGAACAGCCTTAATGGTGTAAAACAATGTGGATTTTATCAAAAAATAAGCTTTTGTATTTATAAGAGCATGAAGATACCTGTGTAGTAGGCTGTTGCTGTAATTACACATTTTACATTGACATTTTAGTCATTTAGCAGACGCTCTTATCCAGAGCGACTTACAGTTAGTGAGTGCATACATTTTTCATACTCAGCCTCTTTTTTTTTTTTTTTTACATGTTACATTGTAATTAACCGATTTTTAATTTCATGTTTGTTACAAGAAGAAAGAGTCCCTATTCTGTGTAGTAATAAGAACTGTTGAACTGTTACAATGCAATTATAATGCAATAATCAAAGTAGAATGCAACAACAATTAAGTTAGGCCATGCAAAGTTGATTTACTGTTTAACAAATGTAATACTTTGAAAAGTGAGCAAATATTTTTTTAAATATATAATTGTGTGTATATATATATATAAATTCATATGAATCAAATGAATTGTTCAAAAACCTGTATTTTTTGTATTTATTTTTTATGTGATGTGGGGCATCTGTTGAACGGTAAATTAACTCTGTTAGGCCTTAGTGTAAAAACATCCCCATTTTAAATGTCATTTTGAAACTGTTGATTTTAGGCCTACCTGTATTCTGTCCTCATCCAGATGTAACCTCTGAGCCAATTCTTCTCTGATGTCAATACCCGGGTATGCGTTAATGAGAAACACACTCTCCAAGACTTCAATCTGCACCCCAAGAAGAAATCATATCAATAAATCATATCAATCAAATTGTATTACCATGAAAACATTTGTCACAAATTGATACTCATTTGTCACAAATGTATATACTGATAACTGTAACCCTGCAGCAAAATCCCAGTTATGGCATCATACAAAAAATAAATAGGTAAAATAAAACACTTTAACTGCACTTCAGCCGATATATAGGCTAATATCGATAATACATATGTTATTAAATGTTTTGTTATTGACGCACCACGATGCTTAAAACATTTATTTATTTACTTTTTACCTGTGTGCTACTGAAAGCCGTCCGCGGCCTGCGCCCAATGTACCAGTTTAATGTTCTCCTGTAGGACTCCGTAAAGTGTTGTTTACATTTGAGCTTCTGTTCATCTTCTTTCCCCTTTATCTCTGAGGAAGGCTCCGATGGTCTATTGACTATGGTGTGACTTTTCTGTTGCGTTGGTTCCAATTCTGAAAAACACCAGACAAAACCCAATATAACTCCACAGACAATGACATCAATTATTATCAGAGTTTACTTGAGAGAAATAAATAGTATTTTACCCGTCCAGGGTCGATACAGCTTCACAGACACATTGCGTAGTTCTGGCCTGTCCAAATCTAACCCAAGGATGCTGTCTATGGTGAAAACTGGCTTTGCGTCAACCAGCCTGATCTGGCAACTAACGGTAGATGAAGCCATACTGTCAACCAACTCTCTTCTGAAAAGTTACTGGCCTCTGAAAGCTGGCTGCTCAGGTGACGACTTTTAAACGAATCAGGGAATTTATACGTCACTAATTAAAATCAGAGGTTCTAAAAAGTTTAGCATGTGAATCGAATACCCCCACCACTGGGCGCGTTGAGTCGCAGGTAACCCGATTCAGATTAGGGGGGTTGCAAATAGGCCTAGGCATAACGGTGTTATCTCTTTAGGACAGTGGATTCGTTAAACCTAATTTTATAACTGAAACAAAAAAACAGTGCCATCCTTTTCTTCAAAACTACCAAGGTAGAAAATCAAACCCATTCCCACATGTCGCCAAACCTGGGCACCTTTTCAACTATTTTAGATAGGCCTACTGTCTGCAGTCGTCATTATGCGGGGCTAGTCAAGTATCACATAATCCCAATCCTAATAATAATCCTCTAATACTATTAGTTTTAATCCTGATGAATATTCTCTCATCCTGCCGTTGTGATGCATATAGGACGGTGAATTATGTTGGGGACAAACAAAAGCCGTCAAAGCGGCAGGTTGACGTGTTGCTGGAAATTCGTGTGTAATATTTGTTCCTCCTCGAATCGACCTATTCAACAGCAGATTAGTGCTCGCCTTAACGAACAGAACAACGGGAGCTTTAAACAAATAGCTCACTTGTTTACTTTTCGCTCTGAATGGAACGGAGAGGATTCGGACACAAGGGATGTCAATGTGCACGGGCGCGCCCAGTCTTTTTGTTTTGAAAGAAGAGCAATACTTAATTGGCTACTCTAAGAAAGAACAGGCTTATTTGCAGTCTATAGGCGCGCGCGCGCACATACACACACACACACACTGAATCAGGAGCAATAAAACACAACCCTAACCCTTGAATTAGTGTATATTTATTGTTGAAAAGCTATTTAGGACACTGCAACAGTAATCATTGAAGTATATACAGTAAAGATGATCATATTCCCCCCTGCATGAAGTACGAAAGTGCAGTCCCCCATATTAACATCTCAATAACCCAGTTTACTACTCCCAAAACCTTTCCCCAAAATCGAAATAATAAATAAAATATTCTTCTGGGATATCAGTTCTATTTATATAAACCGAATCAATTTCACTTGGTTGATATGATAGTTGTATTCTCTATTAGTTGAGCTGATAAACTTGCAGTCAGAGCTCAGAAAAAACTTACATCATAGCAAAGGTTGAGGAACACTTCTAAAAAATGTCCCATACATAGCATACATATGTAGTGCACTTCTTTATACAGAAATGATCTGAGAAACATACAAACCATTCCAATACATTATGGATTAATTTAGCACATTGTAATACAGTATTGTTATTGCTTCAACCTAGCAGATTAATACATTGACACCTCAGGCAAAAGTCTGATTCATTTATGAGCATACCACTATTGGTGTTAGGGGTACAATGTCAAAATCGCCATCACTCGAAACAAAACATGGTTCATTGAAATGGTAGTAATAATTTGTTATAAAAAAAATTACTAACAAGGATGTAAGTGACAATTATTTATCTTCATGATAGGATCCAAAGCACATGCAAACCTGTTAGCTAACGGTAAGAGGCTGAATGTAGACAAGGTCCTGAAGCAACAAAGCATCCCCAAACCATCACACTACCACCACCATGCTTGACTGTTGGTATACGGTTCTTACTGTGGAATGCAGTGTTTGGTCTTCGCCAGGCATAATGGGACCCATGCCATCCAAAAAGTTATAATTTTGACTAATCTATCCATTGAACATTCTTCCAAGAGTGTTGATGATCATCCAGGTGTTTCCAGGTGCTTTTTGGCAAACTTGAGTCAACCTTTTCGAAAAGATGGGTCCCATTATGTCTGGCGAAAACCAAACACTACATTCCAGAGGAAGAACCTCATACCAACGGTCAAGCATGGTGGTGGTAGTGTGATGGTTTGGGGATGCTTTGCTGCCTCAGGACCTGGACGACTTGCCTTAATAGAAGGAACCATGATTCTGCTCTGTATCAGTGAATTCTACAGGAGAATGTCAGACCATCCGTCTGTGAGCTGAAGCTGAAGCGCAGCTGGGTCATGCAGCAAGACAATGATCCAAAACACACAATCAAGTCTACATGAAAATGGCTAAAAAGCAACACATTTGAAGTTTTGGAATTGCCTAGTCAAAGCCCAGACCTAATCCCAATTGAGATGTTGTGGCAGGACTTGAAACAAGCATTTCATGCTTGAAAACCCACAAATGTCGGTGAGTTAAAACAGTTCTGCATGCAAGAGTGGGCCAACATTCCTCCACAGCGATGTGAGAGACTGATCAACAACTACAGGAAGCATTTGGTTGCAGTGATTGCAGCTAAAGGTGGCACAACCAGTTATTGAGTGTAAAGGGGCAATTACTTTTTCACACAGGAATTGGGTGTTGCATAACTTAGTTAATAAAATAAATAAAATAAGTATTACTTTTTTTTGTTATTTGTAAACTCAGGTTCCCTTTATCTAATATTAGGTTTTGGTTGAAGATCTGATAACATTCAGTATTAAAGATATGCAAAAACAGAGAAAATCAGAAAGGGGGCAAATACTTTTTCACAGCACTGTAGATTATAAACTGGGTGGTTTGAGCTCTGAATGCTGATTGGCTGACAGCCGTGGTATATCAGACCGTGGTATACCACGGGTATGACAAAACATTTATTTTTACTGCTCTATTTACATTGGTAAATAGTTTATAATAGCAATAAGGCACCTTGGGGGGTTGTGGTATATGGCCAATATACCACGGCTAAGGGCTGAATCCAGGCACTTTGCTTTGTGCATAAGAACAGCCCTTAGCCATGGTATATTGGCCATATACCACACACCCTCAGGCCTTATTGCTTAATTAGACTATATGTATACTGTTTACACAAACAATACAGAAATCTGTTATTACAGTATTAACATGTGCAATGTCTTCCCACCATATTAATACACTCTATAATCTCTAACTTTTAGAAAGCCATAGTATTCAGTCAGAACTGCACCTGATTTTCTAAATAAACAAAACCAGAAAAGCATTATTTTAATTCTTCTATATTTTCTGCCAGTATACATCTATATAATTGCGAGTATAAAATACATTATAATTTACACAAGGAGGAGAATGATCCGGAAAGATTATATTGACTGTTCAGTCACAGTTCTTTTTCTACTCTTCTTTTCTTAGCTAGTGGGGTCGTTTTTTCTCATTTTTATGTTAGGAAGTATTTATTTTCCTTGCACTCTGAATCCTGTTCCTCCATTGACCAACAGTAGGAGCCAGAGGTGAGCCCAGCCAGAGAGAGGCTGTATCTGTGCAGGCCCAGGGTTGCGGAGCCGAGGTGGGGGTCTGGAGAGGAACCAAGTCCACCTCTAACTGTCTGTTTTCATGGGGTACTACTTTGTGGTAACACATCGTCAAGCCTGTCCCTTGTAGCCTGGGTGCGAGTCTGTTTCTACTCTCTTGCCAACTCCTTATGGAATTGTCATGCAATTGTTTGGCTTGACAATGACAATGGAGCAGGCAAAAGCACAAACAGATCTGGGACCAGGCTATGTCCCTCGTGGGTGTTTCTTCTGAACAGCACATTGGTGGGTAGCCTATCCAGCAGAGGATCAAAGCCAGCAGTTGCATCGCTGATGATTTGCGTAAAAGTTTAACTTAGGCTCAACTTGGTGAAATTGTCCCCAACGGTTGCATCTCTCAAGGTCTCCTCAAGTCACCTCTTCAAGTTGCCTCCCTCCATTGAAAATTACTGACTTCCAGTGGTTTGGTCAGCCAAAGTAGTATCCAGTGAAAGCTAACAGTAACATCTCTCCGTTCCATTCTGTTAGGCCTCTGACTCTCCCTTCTCCCGCTCCTCCACTCCTGCATCACTGTCCTCTGATTGGCTGTTGCTCAGCACCAGGAACTGTCCGTCAGTGCCAGCGGCAAGGGGGGTGGGGCGACTGAAGGCAGCAATCAAACAGCTCTGTTCCTCTAGGTCCTGTGGTTTCATTCAGATTAATTGATTAATCAATCATTCAGTTTACTGTGACATGATCGAACACAGAGGGTAGTAAAGTTATGATTATAGACAGGAAACTGGTCAAGATAGGCGTTGATTTATAAGTCAACGAGAATAGGATACTATATTGTAAATTTTTTCAATGGAAATTGATACGATTTTCTGGGACACTGACAGTACCTTTTCTATCTGTTTCTGTTTACTCAGCTCCTCCTGCTGTTTCTCCTTGGCCTTGTCCTGCTCCTTCCTCTTCTCCGTAGCTTTGCGATCCTGAATCAGCAAAAACATTAAAACAGTAAAGGTCCCACATGAGTAACGAAGATTCATCTTAACAAATGAATTCCACTAGAACAGAGTCTCACATTTCTTACCATCTCTGAGTGGAAAGCTATCTGTTTGGCCAGCCCCACACTGTCACAGATCTGAAAGGAGAACAACAACATACACTCAGAGATACAGTGGGGGAAAAAAGTATTTAGTCAGCCACCAATTGTGCAAGTTCTCCCACTTAAAAAGATGAGAGAGGCCTGTAATTTTCATCATAGGTACACGTCAACTATGACAGACGAAATGAGGAAAAAAATCCAGAAAATCACATTGTAGGATTTTTTATGAATTTATTTGCAAATTATGGTGGAAAATAAGTATTTGGTCACCTACAAACAAGCAAGATTTCTGGCTCTCACAGACCTGTAACTTCTTCTTTAAGAGGCTCTTCTGTCCTCCACTCGTTACCTGTATTAATGGCACCTGTTTGAACTTGTTATCAGTATAAAAGACACCTGTCCACAACCTCAAACAGTCACACTCCAAACTCCACTATGGCCAAGACCAAAGAGCTGTCAAAGGACACCAGAAACAAAATTGTAGACCTGCACCAGGCTGGGAAGACTGAATCTGCAATAGGTAAGCAGCTTGGTTTGAAGAAATCAACTGTGGGAGCAATTATTAGGAAATGGAAGACATACAAGACCACTGATAATCTCCCTCGATCTGGGGCTCCACGCAAGATCTCACCCCGTGGGGTCAAAATGATCACAAGAACGGTGAGCAAAAATCCCAGAACCACACAGGGGGACCTAGTGAATGACCTGCAGAGAGCTGGGACCAAAGTAACAAAGCCTACCATCAGTAACACACTACGCCGCCAGGGACTCAAATCCTGCAGTGCCAGACGTGTCCCCCTGCTTAAGCCAGTACATGTCCAGGCCCGTCTGAAGTTTGCTAGAGTGCATTTGGATGATCCAGAAGAGGATTGGGAGAATGTCATATGGTCAGATGAAACCAAAATATAACTTTTTGGTAAAAACTCAACTCGTCGTGTTTGGAGGACAAAGAATGCTGAGTTGCATCCAAAGAACACCATACCTACTGTGAAGCATGGGGGTGGAAACATCATGCTTTGGGGCAGTTTTTCTGCAAAGGGACCAGGACGACTGATCCGTGTAAAGGAAATAATGAATGGGGCCATGTATCGTGAGATTTTGAGTGAAAACCTCCTTCCATCAGCAAGGGCATTGAAGATGAAACGTGGCTGGGTCTTTCAGCATGACAATGATCCCAAACACACCGCCCGGGCAACGAAGGAGTGGCTTCGTAAGAAGCATTTCAAGGTCCTTGAGTGGCCTAGCCAGTCTCCAGATCTCAACCCCATAGAAAATCTTTGGAGGGAGTTGAAAGTCCGTGTTGCCCAGCGACAGCCCCAAAACATCACTGCTCTAGAGGAGATCTGCATGGAGGAATGGGCCAAAATACCAGCAACAGTGTGTGAAAATCTTGTGAAGACTTACAGAAAACGTTTGACCTGTGTCATTGCCAACAAAGGGTATATAACAAAGTATTGAGAAACTTTTGTTATTGCCAAATACTTATTTTCCACCATAATTTGCAAATAAATTCATAAAAAATCCTACAATGTGATTTTCTGGATTTTTCTTCCTCATTTCGTCTGTCATAGTTGACGTGTACCTATGATGAAAATTACAGGCCTCTCATCTTTTTAAGTGGGAGAACTTGCACAATTGGTGGCCGACTAAATACTTTTTTCCCACTGTAACAGAAAATGACCATGGGTAACAGTAGACACACATGCAAATGCCTTCCTTTTGCCACAACATGGAAACTATACGCTGTTTTAACTGATAGTGCCATCACTACACAGACACAACATGCTTACTCCTAGCCAGGACTTGTTGCTGACCATAAAAACACATTTGCATGTGTGCTTTACCAGGAAACACTCTATGCCCTATTTACAGCCTTTAACTACCTACACATCATGGAAGAAGAAAGGCTACACAGCAGAGCAGAATCTACCTTTTCCCCATCATTGTTGGACTCAAAGATGTAGCAGACAGTGATTGGTTGTCCGTCCACCCTGCCTTCTGCTGTCTGCAGAACAAATCCAAACAGACGCTTGTTCTCCTGGTGGGCAGCACACAACACCACACTGGAGAGAGGGAACTGGGGGAGGGAGAGAGAGCGGAAGAGGGAGCGAGAGCGGGAGAGAGAAAGGGAGAGAGATGGGGGTGGGGGGAACGAAAGGCAGGAGGGAGAAGGAAATTAAGAAGTCACGTGAAACATCAAGTCTAGACTAGACAATCTCATGCATCTTGACAGTGATAATACGTCAAATCAATCAGTCACATGCCTACCCTCAGCCGTGTGACTTGTGTCTGAGGATCGATTAGCCTGAAAACAAAACAACACAGAGGATAAGCCTGAATTGAATGAATTTCCATGACTGTATAATAAGGGCAAAGAGCTTGTCTCTCACTTGAGGCATTCGCAGGTGACCAGCAGGTGAGACTCAGTCATCCTGAAGATGTTGTGTATGGCCCTGGCTGCTAGGATCTGTCGCATGGTCTCATTGATGACGTCAGAGCTGTCTGCATTCTTCACCTCCATAGAACCCAGGAAACGCACAATGAACAGCTGGTGCAGGATAGAGTCTGGGTGGACACAGACACACACACAAACACACTGTCCATTGTATTTGATTTTTCATGGAAATTCATCTTTAGCTTTTAACCTGACCACCTGAGAAACACTCACAAGAGGGACACCTACCTTCACTCTCCTCAGCTGGTGTGTCTCCTGATTCACCAAAAGGATTGGTCCTTCTTTCAAAAACAGGGAGCAAAGAAACACACCCGCCTCTTAAGAACACGACTGACACAGTGTAGTAGACTCAGAACTATTTTCTATTCAACAAACACGATGGGCTAGTCCTGCCTATACACCGTTAAGGAAGCCCTGGATAGTTAGTACCGACCTGCCCTGTCCGGCAGCCTTGACCTGTCCTGTGTCCTCCTCGCTGACTGGAGAGATGATGTCAAACTGGATGGGCGTGTTTGGAGCCACCAGTGCGTCCAATGAGAGGACTGAGAGGGCCGGGGAGGGCGCCTCAGAGCCTGCCGAGCTCACACTGCTGGCCCGCGCTGCCTGCGGCCGCCCTTGTCTACACGGGACGGAGAGATGTAGAGATGGATGGATGGGACCGAGGGAACAGAAAAGAGATGGAGGTTAGAGAGATGGAAAAGAGGGATGCTAGCTGCATTTAACATAAGAATACAGGTAAAGTGAGGGAAAAAAGTATTTGATCCCCTGCTGATTTTGTACGTTTGCCCACTGACAAAGACATGATCAGTCTATAATTTTAATGGTAGGTTTATTTGAACAGTGAGAGACAGAATAACAACAAAAAAATCCAGAAAAACGCATGTCACAAATGTTATAAATTGATTTGCATTTTAATGAGGGAAATAAGTATTTGACCCCTCTGCAAAACATGACTTAGTACTTGGTGGCAAAACCCTTGTTGGCAATCACAGAGGTCAGACGTTTCTTGTAGTTGGCCACCAGGTTTGCACACATCTCAGGAGGGATTTTGTTCCACTCCTCTTTGCAGATCTTCTACAAGTCATTAAGGTTTCGAGGCTGACGTTTGGCAACTCAAACTTTCAGCTCCCTCCACAGATTTTCTATGGGATTAAGGTCTGGAGACTGGCTAGGCCACTCCAGGACCTTAATGTGCTTCTTCTTCAGCCACTCCTTTGTTGCCTTGGCCGTGTGTTTTGGGTCATTGTCATGCTGGAATACCCATCCACAATCCATTTTCAATGCCCTGGCTGAGGGAAGGAGGTTCTCATCCATGATTTGACGGTACATGGCCAAGTCCATCGTCCCTTTGATGCGGTGAAGTTGTCCTTTCCCCTTAGCAGAAAAACACCCCAAAAGCATAATGTTTCCACCTCCATGTTTGACGGTGGGGATGGTGTTCTTGGGGTCATAGGCAGCATTCCTCCTCCAAACACGGCGAGTTGAGTTGATGCCAAAGAGCTCGATTTTGGTCTCATCTGACCACAACACTTTCACCCAGCTCTCCTCTGAATCATTCAGATGTTCATTGGCAAACTTCAGAAGGCCCTGTATATGTGCTTTCTTGAGCAGGGGGACCTTGCGGACACTGCAGGATTTCAGTCCTTCACGGCGTAGTGAAGACTATGGTCCCAGCTGCCTTGAGATCGTTGACAAGATCCTCCCGTGTAGTTCTGGGCTGATTCCTCACCGTTCTCATGATCATTGCAACTCCACGAGGTGAGATCTTGCATGGAGCCCCAGGCAGAGGGAGATTGCCAGTTCTTTTGTGTTTCTACCATTTGCGAATAATCGCACCAACTGTTGTTACCTTCTCACCAAGCTGCTTGGCGATGGTCTTGTAGCCCATTCCAGCCTTGTGTAGGTCTACAATCTTGTCCCTGATATCCTTGGAGAGCTCTTTGGTCTTGGCCATGGTGGAGAGTTTGGAATCTGATTGATTGAATGCTACTGCGGACAGGTGTCTTTTATACAGGTAACAAGCTGAGATTAGGAACACACCCTTTAAGAGTGTGCTCCTAATCTCAGCTCGTTACCTGTATAAAAGACACCTGGGAGCCAGAAATCTTTCTGATTGAGAGGGGGTCAAATACTTATTTCCCTATTTAAAATGCAAATCAATTTATAACATTTTTGACATGCGTTTTTCTGGATTTTTTTGTTGTTATTCTGTCTCTCACTGTTCAAATAAACCTACCTTTAAAATTATAGACTGATCATTTCTTTGTCAGTGGGCAAACGTACAAAATCAGCAGGGGATCAAATACTTTTTTCTCTCACTGTATGATCAAGAAACCTCTAACTACAGTAGGGTCAGGAGTTTTTCCAGACCATGTGACTAAACCAGGAAAAACACTAGTCTCCAAGTTACAGGCTAGGCTAGTTATCGACTGTACTGTATATAACCAAGGCCTAGAGATTTTGGTAGTCAGATCAGGAAAAACTCCTGGCCCTAATAATGAAGTGTATGATTGTGTGAAGAGAGACGGTTCAGACACCCACGTGCTCGGCCGCATACTCTCATGCCTCTGCTGGAAGGAGGGAGACAGTGTCACAGCCTCAAGAGCTGATTGGTTCACTCTGGCTGCGATTTCCTGCCAATAGAAAGAGGGCATTTCAGCAAAGAGGAAATGCGCTTGACAACAGCTCGGCAAGAGAGAGAAAGAGGGGAGATGAGATTCACACTAACCACATCCCATCCCAGACATCCAGCACTGGCTAGGTGAATGTCACACCATAGACACACACAGGGGTGTTGGAGCATTGCTCTATCTATGATAATATGTACTAAATATAAAGATGATGCAAGCACAGGCTTTTCCAGAGCATAGCATGATACTCACCTCTGGGTTCTCACTGAGATAAATCCTCTTTGAGATGTTGTTAATCGTTGCAATCCACTGAGGGAGGAAAGAGGAGCACAGGACAATGTTATTAGGAGATACCACACCTACATTATACAGTCAGACGGAAATGCATACATTTATACAATACATCTACAATACATTTCACTAAAACTGTTGTCTCACCTCTTCACAATCCTTCCTGCTCTCTGCCTGCAAGATGGCCACTCTAAAACAAAGACCGAGCACATCAGTAACTTCTGTGGAAATAATTATTTGTTGGGACTAAGTTAGAAAGCTTCATAAGCTGTTATAACTAGGTAATAATACATCTTCATAAGCTGTTATAACTAGTTTATAAAGCTTTAATATGTAGTCATTTACTTCTTGCCGTCGAAGGATGTGATCTGGAAGCAGAAGCGTCGGTCCTCACAGTCCACGGCCATGACGGAGCAGTTGTCTATATCCATGACCAGACCCCCCGCCACATCCCCCCGCGCCTGGCTCATCAGGTTCCCTCCCTGGGTGAAGAAGTACTGCCGGTCCCAGGATGAAGACACTAGGCCCGTTTTACTTAGGGAATACATTCAGGAGTAAAAACATGGTTGAAACATATTGTCGTTCTGATGAAGGCATTTAGGACCGTATTCACTTTCACTAGAAATGAATAAAACCTTTTTATTTTATTTACTAATGCAAGTGTTTATTTAAAATATATGTTGGTCTTGAACAACATTGTTGCAGGACTGAGGAAGGTCAGTTTGTTTGGCTAGGCAGTTATTTCTTACTTGCGAGTGTTGAGGTAGCCGGCCTTGCGTGTGAGGTTGCGGTTGACAGGAACCTGGCTGGGGTCAGGGTCGGGCATGTAGAGGAGGTCATTGGCCTGCTCCATGTCTTGGATGGTCTGTTGCATCACATCCACCTCCCCGGCCATCTCCCTGCGGACACTGGACACAACCACACACATTACACGCCCGGCCGTAAAAACATTGTAAGCAATACGTCAATTCCAACTGGCCTAACAGACGGAAAGATGGAGCAACCACCATTGCTGACAGCTATCCAATCTTTTCAGATCTCTACAAATTCCTAGGGTTAGGGGCTAGGAGATTAAGCCTACTTCTGAACACTGGTTCCTATGTCGGTGAGGAAGTCTTCCCACTGCTGGGTGAGGTTCTCTGATCCCAGCTTGAAGAAGCTGATCTGGGAGATACAGAGAGACAGACATGCTGATCAGAGCATACACTTGAGCAGAGAGAGAGAAAGAAATACAGAGAGAGAGAGAGAGAGAGAGAAAGTAAGGCTGATGTACCTGTGCCTGCATGTATCCCAGCAGAGGCTCCAGCAGGGAAATCTTCTTCTTGTACTGCAGCGTGTTGAGGGCTGTGAAGTAGTGCATCATGGTCTGGTGCTGCTTCTTCCTGGAGGTGTACACATCCTCCATCACCTCGCCCTTCACCTGGAGAGAAGACACACACACACGCGCGCCCACAGACATGCACACGCATGGGCACACACATGTCAGGTTTTATTTGGTGAGGAAGTTATTGTTACAACAATGTCATGTTATATTAATAAACATCTCCAATAAGAATATCAAGTTCCCAAAAAAAGAACACTGTACCTTCTCATTGTCCCTCCTTTTAGAGAGACGGCTGTATCGGTTGATGGCCATGTCATGATCTGTAGACAGAAAATGTGAAGAGTGGTTATTACAATTACAACATGTGCTTGTAACAAGACATCATGCCATATCACAACAACATTTGTTTTCATGTTTTACTGAATAGATCTCACTCACCATCGCTGGCTATCTGGAACACTTCCTTCAGGGTCAGTATCTCTGTAGGGGAGAGAGAGAAGGTTAACGTCCATTTCAAACTGCTCACAATCTGGCACTACCAAGCGCAGCCACCTTCAAACTACATGCCCTTGGAGACCAGGGTTCGATCCCCAGGTCCACCTCTTCACCATTCATCCCTGTGATCCGTCTCCATCTCTCATAAATGTAAATGATCTCTATATAAACAAAACAAAATGAGAATGGAACTCCTTAAAGTCTTACCTTTTAAGTCCCTCTCCTTAAACTGAGTGATGGGGAACATCATGGCATCAGCCAGCTGAGTGGACAGCACTGCATGACAGGAACTCAGCTGTGGGAGAGAAGATAGGTTAGTTACATTATTGAATATCCTCAGGGAAATGTGTCGTGTCGCTCATCGCACAGGTGGAGAGGACAGGTAGGGGAGGTTAGAGAGAAGGAAGAAAGATGGATGGGATGGCTTGAGGTGAAGAGTGAGAGAGTAGCCTTTGCGGGGGGAACGATGGGAGAGGTTAAGACAGAGAGAAGGAAAGGGAGAAGTTACAATGGACAGAATGGAGGAAGCAATAGAAGAAAGAAAGAGAAGAAAGAGCGGTTAAGATGAAGAGAATGGAGGAAAGAAAAGTAGGGAGAGGTTAAAGTGCAGAGTGAGAGCGTGTGTATAGTGTAGTGTAATTAAGAAAGGTCGAGATTACGACAGAGAGAAGAGAGAGAAGGTTAAACCAGTGTCGTCCTATTTGAACAGCAGCGTGCCACAGTGAGGAGGATGGGTTGATGAGGGCAGAGCAGCGGACCCGCTGTGTGTTCTCACCTCGTCTATGACTTTGGCAAACTGCTGCAGAGTGGAGCTCATGACCTCGTCGTCGCAGCAAAGTGGGAAACGCTGCAAAGACAGCCTAAAGTCAGCCCTAATCCATTTTACATTTGCGTTTTAGTCATTTAGCAGACGCTCTTATCTGGAGGGACCGAGTCAGTCCATTCAATGCATGAAAAAGAGGAGTGCAAGCATTTCCTGAACAGAGAAAAACTAACTAGGGCTCAGTTTTTTCCTGGTCAGGTCACATGGTCAGGCAAAACTCACATTTTTGCCTGGCCCTAATGATATCGACAACAACGTGTTTGTATGTTTCACTTACTACTTAGCGCATCAATGTGCCATAGAAAACATAGCCTCATTGACAATTCAATGATAAATCGACAAAAATAAATACATTCTGTACATCATCCCAGCATGTTGACACTGAGAACATAGGCCTACCTGTTTCTCATACTCCTTCAGAAGTTTGGAGGTGAGATGGGTGGCAGCACTCAACTCATTCTGAAAAAGGAGTCATGTCAGTTTCATTTCATTTGCTCTAGGAGCAATATAAAGAAAAGGTGTGTGTGTGTGAGAGAGTATGAGTGCGTGCATGCTTGCATTTTTGCTTGTTTTTAAAAGCCTGAACACTAACTGGCATGAGCGTATCCCAGAGGTCATTGCTCACCTGTGCATCGTAGATTCTGTGCATGGCCTGGAAGAGCTGCTGGGAGTATTTAGATATAGCAGCTGCATCCTCCTCAAAAACACCGAGCAGGGAGCGCGTCTGGCAACAGAGAAACACACTGAATGAAGGAAGCACTCAACTCAGGAAACATTCAGGTTTACCTGAAGTAGGTAGCTTAGATGGCACACTTATGTCACCCTTGTGCAAGGCTAATCTGGTCCCAGATCTGTAGCTTTAGCCAACCCCTCTGACTATTGTAGTCATGCCACAGGTGGAGGCTCCTCACAGGAATGGGAGGACCATCCTACTCAGTGAATTTCATAAAAATAATGAAAATAAAAAATGATATCCTTTTAAAATAAAATTATACTAAATACTGCATATTCACGTCCCCAAATAACTGATTATAAAAACACTGTTACGCAATGAAGTTCTACAGTAGCCTCAACAGCACCCTCCTCTGGGTACATTGACTTCAATACAAAATCTAGGAGGCTCATGGTTCACCTTCTTTCATGGACTTACGCTTCGAACACACCGACAGCATCATTGCGTTTTGGTACACCAGAAGTACATTCATGTCCAATGGAATGCTGCGTTCGCCTTGCAGCATTGCGTTGCAGAGGCAGTTGCAGTGTGTTCTGTGTGGTGCATATGTTGGATTTATCGAACATATGCGTCAAACTGTATGCGTAAACGGGTTGACAGAAATGGTAGCAGAAGGTGAATGTTGAACTTTTGTTGCACACATACAGTTGAAGTCGGAAGTTTACATACACTTAGGTTGGAGTCATTAAAACTCGTTTTTCAACCACTCCACACATTTCTTGTTAACAAACTATAGTTTTGGCAAGTCGGTTAGGACATCTACTTTGTGCATGACACAAGTAATTTTTCCAAAAATTGTTTACAGACAGATTATTTCACTTATAATTCACTGTATCAATCCAGTGGGTCAGAAGTTTACATACACTAAGTTGACTGTGCCTTTAAACAGCTTGGAAAAATCCAGAAAATGATGTCATGGCTTTAGAAGCTTCTGATAGGCTAAGTGACATCATTTGAGTCAATTGGAGGTGTACCTGTGGATGTATTTCAAGGCCTACCTTCAAACTCAGTGCCTCTTTGCTTGACATCATGGGAAAATCAAAAGAAATCAGACAAGACCTCAGAAAAATTATTGTAGACCTCCACAAGTCTGGTTCATCCTTGGGAGCAATTTCCAAACGCCGGAAGGTACCACGTTCATCTGTACAAACAATAGTACGCAAGTATAAACACCATGGGACCACGCAGCCGCTCAGGCGTACCGCTCAGGAAGGAGACGCGTTCTGTCTCCTAGAGATGAATGTACTTTCGTGCGAAAAGTGCAAATCAATCCCAGAACAACAGCAAAGGACCTTGTGAAGATGCTGGAGGAAACAGGTACAAAAGTATCTATATCCACAGTAAAACGAGTCCTATATATCGACATAACCTGAAAGGCCGCTCAGCAAGGAAGAAGCCACTGCTCCAAAACCGCCATTAAAAAGCCAGACTACGGTTTGCAACTGCACATGGGGACAAAGATCGTACTTTTTGGAGAAATGTCCTCTGGTCTGATGAAACAAAAATAGAACTGTTTGGCCATAATGACCATCGTTATGTTTGGAGGAAAAAAGGAGACGCTTGCAAGCCGAAGAACACCATCCCAACCGTGAAGCACGGGGGTGGCAGCATCATGCTGTGGGGGTGCTTTGCTGCAGGAGGGACTGGTGCACTTCACAAAATAGATGGCATCATGAGGAAAGAAAATTATGTGGATATATTGAAGCAACATCTCAAGACATCAGTCAGGAAGTTAAAGCTTGGTCGCAAATGGGTCTTCCAAATGGACAATGACCCCAAGCATACTTCCAAAGTTGTGGCAAAATGGCTTAAGGACAACAAAGTCAAGGTATTGGAGTGGCCATCAAAAAGCCCTGACCTCAATCCTATAGAAAATATGTGGGCAGAACTGAAAAAGCGTGTGCGAGCAAGGAGGCCTACAAACCTGACTCAGTTACACCAGCTCTGTGAGGAGGAATGGGCCAAAATTCACCCAACTTATTGTGGGAAGCTTGTGGAAGGCTACCCAAAACATTTGACCCAAGTTAAACCATTTAAAGGCAACGCTACCAAATACTAATTGTGTATGTAAACTTCTGACCCACTGGGAATGTGATGAAAGAAATAAAAGCTTAAATAATCATTCTCTCTCCTATTATTCTGACATTTCATATTCTTAAAATAAAAGTAGTGATCCTAACTGACCTAAGACAGGGAATTTGTACTAGGATTAAATGTCAGGAATTGTGAAAAACTGAGTTTAAATGTATTTGGCTAAGGGGTATGTAAACTTCCGACTTCAACTGTATCTAGATGATGCTGCATACCATTTTGCGCAATGACGCAGTCAGTGTGTTCAAAGCGTAACAGAGTAATTATGACGACTTCCGGAAGACGTGTTCCAACCTATCAGATCTCTTGCAGTATGAACTAACATCTCGCCCATCCAATCAAAGGATCAGAGAATGAATCTAGTACCAAAAGCATACGCTACAGCTAGCTAGCACTGCAGTGCATAAAATGTGGTGAGTAGTTGATTCAAAGAGAGAGGAAGACAATAGTTGAACAGTTTTGAACAAATTCATTTCTTAAATTAAGGAGAAGCAGCAGAGAGAGCGATATTTAATTGTATTTTTTCTTCTTCTTAGTTTACCTTTCACTTCGCTAATACAGCTAATTTAGCCTACTCAACAACCTGACTCAAACAGAGAGGAATGCTATTTATGTTAGCTAGCTGGTAAAGGCTATCCAACAATACAACTCTTCCAAGTCAAGATAAGCTTTCGGTTTAATTAATGTATTGCCACCGGGGACCACCAGTGTAACTGTTAAACTGCTTGCTGTACACTGTACTGCGTGATTGAACACATGGATTGGATTGTGGGTTTACTAACGCGTTAGTTCTAGTTTGTTGACTATAAAGTTAAAATGGTGACAACGATTTAGGCTGGTTAGCGGTTATGGTATGAAGGTTTGGCTTGGAGAGGTTTTTGCGCCTGGTCACAGACAGCTGTTGTGTTATGTAGTGAAGTCCACAAGTGAAGGGAAAAGATGAGAGGAGGCGAGCGCGTAGATGCGAGAAGGAATTATACAATGAGAAAAGTGATGCTTTATGTGGCTGCTATGAAAGTGAACTGTGTGAGCGTGTGATCAGGGGTGTATTCATTCTGCCGATTCTGTTGCAAAATGTTTCTTAAATGGAAGCAAACGGAAGTAAAAAAAATCCCAAACAGGTCAATAATAGATGAAGACTAAATATGTTACAACTTCCCCCGGTCTCCCCTAATAATAGTGAGCATGCACCTTTCAACCAATTTCCCCCATTCTTCCCTACCAGCGAATGAAGGAAAGTTTGAGGACATTTTTCAATGAAAGTAAAAGGACAGTAAAGTAAAGTAGGAAGCCCAGGTTTCAATAGACGATAAGATAGTTTTTCTCAATCGCGTAGAAGCATTTTTCAGAACAATGTTGTCGATTTTCAAAACAGAGTCCACAAGACACAGAACAGTAAATGCGTTTTGCAAAAGTGGCGCAGTGGTCTAAGGTCGAATCCAGGCTCTGTCGTAGCCGGCCGCGACCGGGAGACCCATGGGGCGGCGCACAATGGCCCAGCATCGTCCAGGGTAGGGGAGGGAATGGCCAGCAGGGATGTAGCTCAGTTGGTAGAGCATGGCGTTTGCAACGCCAGGGTTGTGGGTTCGATTCCCACGGGGGGGCCAGTATGAAAAAATATAAATAAATAATGTATGCACTCACTAACTGTAAGTCGCTCTGGATAAGAGTGTCTGCTAAATGACTAAAATGTAAAAATGTACTTGTCGTCTCAAAAATCAAAGCTCAAAATACATACACTACTGTTCAAAAGTTTGGAGTCACTTAGAAATGTCCTTGTTTTCGAAAGAAAAGCAATTTTTTTTGTTCCATGAATGCCTTCCAGACCTTGGATGTGAACTGGGGTCCTCGGTCAGACACTATGTCCTCTGGTACCCCGTAGTGCCGGAAGACGTGTGTAAACAGGGCCTCCGCAGTCTGCAGGGCCGTGGGGAGACCGGGCAGGGGAAGGAGGCGGCAGGCTTTGGAAAAGCGGTCCACAACAACCAGGATGGTGGTGTTACCTTGACAGAGGGGAAGATCAGTAAGGAAATCAATACTCAGGTGGGACCATGGCCGTTGTGGAACTGGTAAAGGCTGTAACTTATCCGCTGGGAGGTGCCTAGGTGCCTTACTCTGGGCGCACACCGAGCAGGAGGAGACATACACCCTCACGTCCTGAGCCAAGGTAGGCCCACCAGTACTTTCCGGTCAGGCAGCGCACTGTACGACCGATACCTGGGTGACCAGCGGAGCCGGGACGGCCCACCCTTCAACAAAGATGTGATGGGAGCTGCGACCTTGCCAAAGCCCTGGATAAACCTCTGATAGTAGTTGGCAAAGCCAATAAAGCGCTGCACCTCCTTTACCATGGTTGGAGTCGGCCAATTACACACGGCTGAAATGCGATCTCCCACCTGAGGTGGTAATGCGGTATCCGAGGAAGGAGACGGACTGTTGGAAAAACAGACACTTTTCTGTCTTGGCATAAAGGTCATGCATAACAGTCGGGCCAGCACTTTGCGAACCAGGGACACATGCTCGGCGCGCGTAGCGGAATACACCAGAATGTCATCGATGTAGACCACTACACCGCGACCAAGCATGTCCCGAAACACCTCGTTCACAAAGGACTGGAAGACGGATGAAGCATTCATCAAACCGTAAGGCATCACCAAGTATTCGTAATGCCCCGTGGTTGTGCTGAAAATGACCTGTCCATAAAGTTCCCAGCTGTGCCTGAATCGACCAGCGCCTTACTCTGGGGAACTACAAGGTAATCAGAAAAGTGGATGGCTAGGGTACAGTGTGCAGCAGAGGGCTCTGAATGAGTGTGGGTGCCGCCTCCAGACCCAAAAGGTCTCATGCCACCAGAGTGACACTAGCGCTGTCGTCCTCCGCTCCGGGGGGGGCAGGTTGTC